ACTTAAGTATAAAAAACCTGCGACCGCTGAGAGAATGCATTCCAGACTGCTTGATACAACCAATAAATAATCTTGACTGGAGTAGTAGGGGCACGGATTTTTTTGTATAGTCGAAAAGCGCGTCTCAAATAAGTTTGGGAACCAATGAATTAGACAGAATAATAATAAAAGTCTTACATATGCATCCAACGATCCTGGCATCAAAGAAAGATGGCACGAGGGTGGGGTCTTCTCGGGTGCCTGCAGCCTTCTTCAGCACCTTCATGTTGAAGGGGTCGTCGTTTCCGGCCTGCATGGCCATGAGCTCCTTGCGCTCGATGCCGGTGGCATGTTCAAGTGGGTCGGGCATCACTGCGGATAAATATTGGACAATGTAGATAAATCTTGCTACATCTTGCTAAATCATGTTTACTCAAATTATTTGAGAGGATTGTGTTTTTTAACTCTTCAAGATAGAAATCAATTATTATGCGGTCTTATGTGACCACTTGAGGTTTGATGGGTTAAATGACAGAGGGATGTCTGTTCAAATGGGGCTATTTCCAATTGGGACAGTTTCTGTTTCATTTATTTTTCAATCCCTTTCCGAATCTAGGATCCTATCATGCTGAAGCTCGTTTATTTAAAATGCCTATTTTCCCCTATAAAATTGACGCCTAAATTACTAAATTATTGTACACAACAATAAAAGGAATAAAATTTACTGAGAATGAAACTTTACCTAGCTTTTGAACAAATAATTTTTTCTTTAATGTTTCTTGAATGACTCTTCCGACAATCTCAAAATATTAATTCTTCAAACTTTCTTTTTCCACTAATCTATAACAAAGTATCAAGGCATTAAAGCTTATATCTTAATATGTAAGTGTTGAAATGGTCTAAAAGTTGAATAATTTTGATGGATGGATACTGCAATGCAATACGTTTCTGAGATTGAAAGGAAAACAGGCAATATCTTCTCTCCCCCGACAAAACTTCTATTCCAATACATTAAGAGCTAATTGCTCAAGATAGTTTGGATCCTTATTAGATCAGTAATTGTCAAATAAGTAAATTATTTCAATAAAAAAATCAATATTTTTTGTCATCTATGATTACCACATGATTCTAATATTTAATTAAGAACGACATAATGGATTAGCCGTCAATCGATTGGTTACTTTATGAAGGAAGTGTAGGTACCTGCCTAGGTATTGATATGTGATAAGACCATAAGATAACCTATAAACTACGTAAAACTACATATAAATCAAAGGAACAGTATCAATTAAGTAGTTACACGCTGAGATAATTGACTTTTATTGATGTTAGAGGATAAAAAACATAAAACCAACAATAATAATCAATAAACGTGCTTATTTTTGTTCCTTTTTTTACATAATCAGGACTGCGTATAAGATCATGGCTAGGTGCATTAGGCCAATTAATAAAGCAAAGAAAATTCCTACATATGTACATTCAGAAAATTAGTCAGAAATATTTCCTTTTTGAGTGTTTTTCATAAAATCTACTGATTTGACATTACGTAATGTAGAATTTTGACAGGTATGGCGATCACATCATTACAAAAAACATGGATTTTTATCAAATCTTACTTCTGTCGGCATATCCCCGCCGGGCAGCAGAGAACATAACACTTCTAATCGCATTTCCGCGTACAATTTGTCTACACAAGGAAGCCATTCTTAATTTATTTCTCACTAGACCGCCTCTCACGATAGCAAGTGGTAAAATTTTTCGATATGGACTAGTGAAGAGAAACAACCGGTATTGACTTTCACAATACCGGTTTTATTTAAGGTAGGTACATGAGTGTGACTGTGTGACAAACGTTTGGATTCGTAAACGTAATCGGTACTATAGATGACCCACGCTGCACGCTGAACTGTCCCACCAAACTCAATGACAGGGGGGCGCTACCATCGTTCAACTATATGGTTTCCAACATGGCAAAAATCGAAATCAGCGATCCGGTATTGACGGTGGCGCCCCACTGTCAATGTCATGCATAAGACAGTTCAGTATTTTGGAACTATACACGAATCTTCATTTCATTCATTTGTCTATAAAGTATAAATAAAGGGTCGTGCTCCTGCAGTAGAGAATCTGAGTAGAGAATGAAAATTTCATGAGTACCTATTGAAAATAATCAGTGGGTCTAGACAAAGTGCAAATTTTAATCGCAAACCAGTCGAAAAGTGGTCGAAAAGCCCCTTTTTTGTATGGAGTTTTGACGGATTCGATTTTCGATTCGATCAAAAAGTGCGTTTTGTCTAGGGGGGCTGGATTGAAAAGGATATGATGGGCACTTTTCTATGGAATCTGGGCGTAAAACCAACAGAAATGTAACTACTATTATTTGTTAGGACTTAATATCAGAAATATATTTTCAAATAAATAACTACCAAAAACTCCCGGGTTTGCTTGGAAATTGACATAATGTGTAATAGTAATAAGTGTTTTATTACGCAAACAAAAATATTATTAATTAATATACTTATCTACTTACATTTTAAATACATTAAGTTATTTATCCATTATTATGTCCAACAGTTCAGGAGTGGGGCCAACAAATGGTTTATTTAAACCATGTTCTACATTATAAGCGTAGGACCATATCTAGGTACCATTTAGAGAAATGACATGAACACAGTCATGTTTCAATGGGATTTCTACCAGTTAAGTTGTTGTGTTGTCGCATAATCGATCACGGATCGATTATTAATCGAATTGCCAAAAAAACGATTTATCTATTAACAATTCGATTAATCGATTTTATTGAAAAAAAAAAAAAAAAAGAAACTCCGATCTAAAAACTACACTCGTTGCTTATTATGCCTACAGCTACGCTTGGATCTCTTACGGGATCATACTATGGGGCAACAGCACGGACTCAGATGATATATTTATTCTCCAAAAAAAGTGTATACGTATGTATCCTGGCACAAATAAAAAATACTGAAAGCTGTAAGCCATACTTTATGAAATATAAAATACTACCACTAAAATGTATTTATATCTTGGAATTATGTAAGTTTGTGCGCAAATATCCAAATCTATACACAAAAAAGGGAAATGTAAATGCAAGATCTCGATACCCTAATGATTTAATATTACCTCTATTCAAACTAGGCATGGCTGCTACAGGACCATACGCAATGACGATAAAAGTCTATAATAAACTACCTACATACATAAAATCTGAACCAAATACAAATAAATTTATTAATTTGCTAAAAAAGTTTCTACTAAGTAAGTGTTACTATGATTTAAATGAATATTTTAATGATAAGCCCACATATACAGTACTATGCAATACATACATTTAACTATTATCTACATATTGTATCACCCATTATATGACATTCAGTTATTCAGTTACCTACTATACTCATTATAATAATTATTAGAATTATTTTTTCCTATTCCCTGGAGAGACTTTATAAAAAAAGTGTCGGCCCAGTATGCGTAATTTTTCAAATATATTTTTTATACAATAATAGACATTATATTCCAAATTGCTTTATGTACTTCCTATCAAAGACATCTATAATTTATTTGATTGCTATTGTAAATACCAGTAAAATTGCAATGCCCTTGCAGGGCCCATATGTTTACCTTACATATTTTATAAGACCTTACTGTACATACATACATATGTGATGCAATAAATAAATGAATATGAATATGAATATGAATATGATTACCATCATTACTATCATTTGATTGTTAATTCAATTCCTTATTTTCAGCAATATAATCGATTATTGCAATCGAATAATCGATTATGATTTATTCGGTATACATACTTACTAAATCGATAGAATCGATAGTAAGATATGATACAATACTCTCAATATGATCGATAAAAGCAATGTAATTGACCTAATACTATTTTTATTACCCTAATGTGATGTGAAATACTATGGAAACTTTGCATATTCAACGACCTCTATCTCCGTATCCCCGCGTATTTCAGGGTTGTTGTCATAGTATGAAATGAAGTACTAGTATTAAGCTTTAATTTAGTATACTTTTTGTTTCTGTTGGTTTAACGCCCAATATGCCCATCATCCTTTAATTAAATAAAAATGGATTTTACCATATTCTTGTATTTGAATCAAACAATACAGAATGGTAGATGACAGTAGTATGGACTGTGTTACTACTTACATTTATCTACCTACCAGCTAGGTTATTGAAATTTACTTATAAATCGGATTCAAATTCAAATATTTTATTCAGTACCCTTTCCAGAGCACTTATACACGTCCCAAATATAATATATAGCTTGCCTTACCACCACTTTACCACCGATTAAAATCTTGCCCTTTACAGTCATTTCAAGGGTAGATTTATCTTTCACTGGACCATTATAGAGTTCAATTTTTTTATTGTTGTAGAAGTAATTGTATTCGGGTATTGAAACGATCAGCCAATTTCTAAGAAATCGTTTTATTTAGATAGTATTATCATGTGGTTTTGGTGAAGTGTGCGACTACTGCTGTGATAATGATACGGTTACATTGAGATTTATTAGGTAGATAGGTACTTGGCTATAGACTGAACAATGTGCATTAAAATATTACAGAATGACTTCACAACAAAGAATATGTTTATCCTATAGGAAAGTTATAGGTATAACGAAAGTATGAACTACGCAGAGAGGAGAAAAATGTGAATCAGTAACAAAATAGGCATTACATTTTTCGTTCTTTTATGACGTATGTTACGAAAATCATTCTCATCAACACGCCACTTGTTATTAACTGCAACAAAAACAAGTAGGTAATAATTAAAAAAATATCATAATTCTTAGAAGTATACTAATGTTGTATGTATTGTATTTTATGATAGGTCCAACTAACAGCTTAACTCTGAACTAGGTCTAGTCTGATTCCCTAGTAAGTTACGCAAGTGAACAAGGAAACGGAATAGGAACATGGTATAAGATAGCAGTAGTAAAATTAAATCTTGCATTTATGACCATAAAAACTTACCAAAATGATCAGATGTACTTTTCGACGGATTTTGTTAATTTTGTTAGCACATAAGATCAGAGATGAAATTAACTTGAGAGGAAATCAATTTCTCGTTCTGCCACTCCTTTGTATGAAACACCCCTTGAATGAGTTTAGCCGAACATCGATTTCCCCATCTTCTAACTGAAAAAAGAATTGTTTATATGGAAAAATTATGAATTTTGGAATCTACACGCAATGTTTGGATTCAAGATCTCAATCTCTTCTTCCGTCTAAAAACGCAGAGTCCTCAAAGATTCAAAAAACTGTGGTCACATCCGGAAATAAGACCAAGCCAAGATAACGATATTGTTGCGATATTATTAATGTGTATTTACCGGGTCATTCTGGTAGAGATCTCTATAGCAAGAAGGCGAAACGCACTCCCTTACGCAACGGGTCCTTGGAAGACCATTCATATGATTGCATGCGCTACTTTGTTCACACGCTGTTTCAAACTCCCGGAACGTCATTTCCTGCAAAGTAATAAAGATCATTTTTTATCTCAAAATATAACTCAGACATATTATTATAGAAAGATGTAATGGAAACTAAAATTGTAATTGATCATTGGCTTACATTTTTAGGCGAGTCCTTGTATTGATATTCTTTAAATGTGAAAGTTACTGGACTTTGTTCAGCAGAAGTTTCAATTACTACAAGACTTAAAATCGTACAGCATCCAAATATAAGGCATATTCGTGTCATTTTGTGGATAAATATTAGAGTTAGTATTCGTACAAGTGCAATTTACAGAATAATCAATATAATCACCAAACACTTGTTGCTTCTTGTTCTGCAGTGCGCAAGTCACAAATAAATGAATGTTGTGTGAAGCAAAAAATATTTGAAAAATCTGTATAGGTGGGTTAATAAAATTAATCCAAAATGAAAGTTTTTCAAACTATCTACAAATAAAAATATTTATAAAGTATTTTTATCGCCATTTGAGATCACATTCAATACCGGTTATTTTTAAATGGGACAGCACTAGTATACAGTACACTGTCTCAATAGCAACCTGTTTGACAGTGAAATAAATTACAACCAATCAGAGAACACTTGGTTTTACTATTGGAAAATAATGTACAATGGCGTCATTTCATTGGTCTGAATTTTTAATTTTTCCGTCCTTCCTTTGTGCCAATTAACCGTGATCCTGTTGCTTGCAAAGACTGGAGGAATTATCAACAACCAATCAAAGCGTGTTTAATATAATTTTCATGATTTCTATTGGCTGTATTAAGCACCGTTTATAAAAACCGCGCGCTCAACGACATTAGTTTAGTTGTTTAAAGTCAGCTGTCAACAAGCTGTCATTTCGTATTTCACAAAAAGTGAAGTGGCGATTGAATAGATTCTTGTAAGATTTGCTAAATTTTCGAAATTATCGCGTCATCCGAACTAATTTGTGTGAATCGTGTAGTTTCATAGTGTATTAGTTTTTGTTTTTATTTATACCCAGCCATACGGTTACTTTCTGTGTTGGAGGAAGAGCATACAACAATACCAACCATTTGGTAAGTGGTTTTATTTATTTTTATTAGTGTAACGAATCGTTCGTTGTTTCATGTTTTATGCTGATAATTGTTGCGTAATGAACATTATCTTGCCCTTCCATTTGAGTTGATGGAAGGCTACGCAACGTTACAGTGTTTCAAAGGTGACAATACATTCACTGGCACTATTTTTACCAAATACAGCGATAAAACAAAGCATACATCCAAATCCTGACCTCGGACAAGAAATCACAATGATTACTGATATTATTGTTACAATGAAAGAATACTTGCATGTAAAATCTTTCAAGTGAGTGTCTAATTGTACCTTTTTTATTGGTTTTTAGCTCCGCCTCAGATTTCTTTGTAACTTTTTCAGACCAGATTTCACCTTCAACAGTCACAATCAAAGCTCTGTACAACTCAATAAAATAATCTTTCCTTCTTCCAGAAAATTCACCATTATTTTGCTTTCATGCAAAGTTTCTGTAAAATTAATCCTGTAATGAAACTGTCTTTTTTTTTGTATTGAGTTCTTGCTATTTACTAAATAACCCAAAACATTATGTTATAGGGGCTCGGCAACATGTTACATACTATGTACATGAATTAAGTTTTATAATACATTCTAAATACCATATTTCATTACTATTCAAAAAAGCTTTTCAAGTTGAAATTAAGTAGAATAAAGTTAAATTATCTATTGATAATGTATATTTTGATGATGAGCAGTTGGTTCTTACTAGCATGTTTAAATGGGCCTGCATTAGTTAATTTTCAGTATAAATAATTATTAAACAATGACTTACTTTTTGCCTAGAGACTTTTTAATGTTAAATTTTTGATTCCTCAATATTCATTAAATAATGTAGGTTTAAATAAATAAGTAGGTATTTAACTGCTATCATTTTTTCTATGATCATTAATCCATTGCAAAAAATACACCTGGTTTCATCATTTAACGAGTGTGAATTAACAGTATGTATCTTTTAATCATTCCATATTAGTTATTGACCTGAAACACCTCCTTTATTATTACAACACAACAAAAAACTTCAAAATATGTTTCACTTTATTATTCAACATCTGATACAAGTAAAAACTCAATGAATCACACCCAAATTTGTCAAAGAACTTTGTACCCTATTTCTATAACATGAAGGCTTTCCTGTATTCATTTTCATTCGCTTGACCCCACAAGCCGGTGCAAACTCAGTGCATCAGCACCGAGTGCTTGTGTGCAGTCATTTTTCAAATTGCAACACAATTCTTTACATGATAGAGGCTATTTCAGTTCGTCAAAATATATCTTCAGCCACAATTTTTTCCTGCATGGAAGTTTCAACCTAATGAAAATAGTGTTAAAGTTGGCTATCTATGGTAGTTGTATCTGAAATGGATTGCTGGTATTAAAGGCTTGAATTTTGCAATGTTGTCGGTCCATATCTATTTTTTTGTTCAGTAAATCAGGTTCTTGAAATGGACTTTTAATGAATTGTTTTTTACAGAACTGTATTGTAGTTGCTAGAAAATTCCAATGACTTTATTATTATCAATTAGTCTTCAGTACTATCTTTAATACATTAATCCACTTTTTTAACTCCCTTCCAAAGCAATTCAAAAAAGTTTAGATTTTACAAGTGTTTTTAAACGTAACACGCGCGATTAAGACTGCAAAGCCGCGGCCAGAAACTAGCTTAGATTTCCCATGGTCGTTAATATGCTTTATTACAAGCATCTGACCATTTAATTGATGAGAAAACAATTCAATTCTTGAGGCCTAATAATCGATTAATCAATGGCCTAACCAACGCCTGAGCCTCCATAGAAATTAGTTAGGGGGCCGTCCATAAATTACGTCATCGATTTTTTCAGATTTTAGACCCCCCCCCCCTACAATCATCCTATCGTCATTTCTTAATGACCCCCCCCCCCNTGTCTAAATCTAGATCTTAAGATCAGTTCTAAAAACCCATTTCCGGGGGTGAATAAATAACGGCAGCTTTTTGTTAATTTTCAGAATATTTTTTTAGGAAAAATTTTTTTACAAAAAAAAATGAAATCTAACAAAGCCGTGAGTGATGAAGTTCTAAAAGGTAGACCTAGATCTAAAGAGTGTAAACAAAAAATAAATAAAATAAAAAAGAGGCCAAAAACCGCCGTCGCTCGACTATTGTATTGACTATTGTATTGTATCAGTAATAGTAGCTTACCATGAGGGGTTAACGGGATTATTATTAGCAACTTGTAAATAGTGACCTCGTAAAAAAAAATTCGTGACCCATTTTTGTTGACGTGTTGATATCTATTCTAGATCTCAATAAAATTACTATTAAATATTCTTCTTAAAAAAAACAAAAAAATACGAGAAAAAAGAAAAAAAACTAGATTCTTAGCAGAGCGTAGTTTCGATCGACGGACCTCTGGGTTATGGGCCCAGCACGCTTCCACTGCGCCACTCTGCTTGTGTATGAAGCGGCGAAATAGGGGATTGTTTACCTCTAGTGATTAGTCAATTAAGATACTTTTTAGAGCTTTTTTGCTTTCTTTTTCGAATTAAAATAATTTGCATGATTTGATGATAAATATGGGACAGGTGAAACTAAATAAGCTTTTAATAACGTCGCGGCGTCGGTTGCAATTAGTTAACTAGCAAAATTAGGAACTATACCCTTGTCACGAGTCAGTTGAGATACTTTTTGCAGGTTTTTTTTTACTTCTCCATATTTTTAAATTAAAATAACCATATTTGACGTCAGTAGCAAGAATTTTCTAACTTATAACTAACCCAAAATTTTTATGCATCTTCTCAAACATTTTGACAGGTTTCATTAAAAAAATAAAGTTTATGAACTTAAATAATGCTGATGATGGAAATGATGACGACGGTGAGGATGAATATTACGTATGTTGGTGTTGATCTTGATGCTGATAATGATGAAAAAATGACTATGATGAGTTGATGAGAAGTTGATGATGATGATTAGTGTTGTTATTTTGGTATTTTGTTGTTTTGATGATGATTTCGATTTGTATTGTTTTCATTTCTGGCACCAATTTTTTTTTCTTTCTTTCTTTTGACGTACCTCCATAGGACAGACGAGCGGAGAACCTCCATCTCCCTTGCAAGTATCAATACCAGCTTCACCACCAGCGCACATGAAGCTTCTGTGCAGTTCGAACAAACGGCCCAGACGCGTCTTCCGCAGGAGACCTTGGCATGTGCTGTGCTTAACTACTGGGAGTTCCACCTGAGAAATAATAAAAATATCTAAGATATTATAGTAATTTGTAAGTTATGCGACAATAACAGATGGCCTCTCACTATAGGCCTTATACAGAAGCTCAAAGTTGCACAGCGTGCTATAAAGAACAAACGAACTAAAGTCGCTGACATAGCCCGACGGATTAACAAGCTGAAGTGGCAATGGGCAAAACATATTATTAATAGGCTATAATTTGTAAGGATATTGAGTTTATTGGCCAAATTACAATGATAAGTGCTATGTTAGTCAGTTTTGTTGCGATCAACAACTAGTCAAGTAAAGAAATAATAATAATATTTCTGGGCATCATTTCACGCGACTGATCTCTTCAAGAAATATCTATCGAATGAAGCAATCGGCCGACATCGGCGGTCAGTGGGCACTGAGAGCCCAACCCGACTTTCTAAAATATTGGCAGACGAAAAGTCGGTGGTCTGCGCCTAGGCTTAGGTACCGCAAAAGAAAAAGTTTTCACTCACCTTCTTCAGAATAACCTGGTACCGCCCAGCCTTCCCGAACTTGTCTTTCCCCCAGCCCGAAGCGAAGCACCTGGTGCCAGCGGTCTGCAGTCGTTTGGGAGGCGGGAGACAAGCCACGCCGATGTTGGGCGCCGGGTCCATGGGCTTGTTTAGGAAGAGGAGAGCGATGTCGTAGAATAGATTGCCTGAAAGATGGAAAAGAAATGTTAAGAAGAGAAGTCAGTCATTCGTTCTACAATCATAAGTACTCCCCGTTGGTTTTGGCCCCCAGTAATAAACTGTTTAAAGTTTCCTTCAACCACAGACAGTTATTATACGTAATACTAGTACCACTAGTACTTCCACGAAGATTATGAAGGTTTCTTCGGATTAACAACTTTGAATAACTTTATGGTGGGAATAGCTTTGTTTGATTTGAGTTTCGTGTTGGCGCGTTAATTTTAATTCCATTCCGGTCCAGAGACCTTGCCCACGGACCAGGTCCGAAGACCGCGTCGGTGAATCTGGTCTGTAGACCACGCCCGAAGACCGCGTCCGTGGACCAGGTCTAAAGACCACGCCCGAAGACGGCGTCGGTAGACCAGGTCTGTAGACCACGCCCGAAGACCACGTCGGTGAACCAGGACTGTAGACCACGCCCGAAGACCGCGTCGGTAGACCAGGTCTAAAGACCACGCCTGAAGACCGCGTCGGTGGACCAGGTCTGCAGACCACGCCCGAAGACCGCGTCTACTGACCACGCCCATAGACCGAGTCCAAAGAAAAAAGAAAGNGACCACCTCATCGTTGTTAAAAAAAAAATTACAGGCCGCGCAGCGAGAGTTGAGACGAACCACACAAGCTAAGATTTGTATCTGTAACCCATTATTGATACCGTTTGAAAGAGCTCGTGACTCAGGAGTAATCAATTTGTCGATATCTTGTATAGTTTAGAAATAATCGAGTGATATTTTCGTTTCCGAGTGGAATTTTACTAAAAAGCATACCTGCATTGAAGTCCTTGTGGATCTCGATCGAATCCACATCTCTGTCCTGATACGGGTATATTTCCTTCGTGGTCTGTGTGTCCCACTCTCCCGCTCGGACCCTGAGCTTGTTAGCCTTGGCCACGTAATGGGCTGTGGTGAGAACTACCCTCATATGGATGAGGGAGCCTCCCCCGACGTACACGTTGAGCTGTTGGCCGCCTGGCTCATTGTTGTTGACTGGCTCGATTCTGGGGAAACGAAATGGTTTATTTATTTATTTAGTTCTACGTTGTGAATCACTTCAGACAAGGAAGAGGGGTAACTTTACATAGGTAACCCCCACTTGCGGTAATTACGTAATTTTTCTCGAAGTCCACTTGTGGGCTTTAAATGGTGGAGGACAATACGCTTTTCGTCCTCTATTCTGCGTGTTTTAACCACCAGTTGACGTCACTGTCTTCGCCACCAGTTGGCGTCACCGTAGCGTCACTGTCTTGGCCACTAGCAAGCAAGTAGCGACCTTACTCTATGGGGCCAACTGGTAAGCGCTAAAACGATAGCCCTCATTAAGCGATATACCTATTCTGATTTTTTTTCTTGTTTCTTTACTTACTTCAAGATGGCCACCATCCATGGGAACTCGCCGAACTTGGCCTCGCCGTCAGTGTCCCCGGTGGTCATGAAGCCCACGCCTTTGGTATTGCGCCAGCCGCAGCCTTCTTTCTGTTGAAAAAAGAAAAAGATAATAATTTATAAGCTACTTCAACATACAATGGATTGCGACTCTCCCTCGCACACTTCCCAAAGCGACGATGTGACGTCACGGCCCGCCAGGTGCGTAGTTAACTCGTATTGTATGTAAAACGTTTTTGCTCACTTTGCATAATAACAAATTCACAAACAGTGCAATAGATAAAAAAAAGATCGACCAAAAACTTGTTGGCGGGAAAGTGAAATGTCATGATTGACATTTTCGTTTCAATTTCAGTTTTTACGAAACTTTAGTATTGTAACCTAGGATTATTGTAAACAATGCTTTATTGGAGAATAACTAAATTATTTAATGCTAAAATAGAACGATATTCAGGTAACCCTTAAAAGGCCTTGGTTAAAATCTAGCCCATCAATTTGAACTTTATGCTGTGAAGATTTGATTACTTTAACNCAAAGAAAGACCACCTCAACGTTGTTAAAAAAAAAATTACAGGCCGCTCAGCGAGAGTTGAGGCGAACCACACAAGCTAAGATTTGTATCTGTATCCAGCTGTATCCATTATTGATACCGTTTAAAAGAGCTCATGAAGCACTTTCAGGATCAATAATAATCAGTTTTTCGATAATAATATCTTGTATAATCTATAGTTTAGAAATAATCGAGTGAGATCACTTCGTTTCCGGGTGGAATTTTACTAAAAGCATACCTGCATTAAAGTCCTTGTGGATCTCGATAGAATCCACATCTCTGTCCTGATACGGGTATATTTCCTTCGTGGTCTGCGTGTCCCACTCTCCAGCTCGGACCCTGAGCTTGTTAGCCTTGGCCACGTAATGGGCTGTGGTGAGAACTACCCTCATATGGATGAGGGAGCCTCCCCCAACGTACACGTTGAGCTGTTGACCGCCCGGCTCATTGTTGTTGACTGGCTCGATTCTGGGGAAACGAAATAAGTAGGTAAGTTTTTGTAAAAAAATAAATTTTAATCAGCGCCACAAAACAACATCAAGAAAATTAAAACAAAACTAAATAATATAGTACACCACGACGCTGGTCTTCCGTGGATACTCCTGGATGCTATGACGCAGCAATACTTACTACTCCGCTTGCTCCGGTTTTTATTCAGGGGGGCGGGGGGGGCTGGCCCTTGATATGCCATGTCATGCGATTGGTAGTAGCCCAACTCCCCCTAGCCTTGCCCAACCGCTATAATTACGCGCATGAATTGATCACTTACTTCAAGATAGCCACCATCCAGGGGAACTCGCCGAACTTGGCCTCGCCGTCTGTGTCCCCGGTGGTCATGAAGCCCACGCCTTTGGTATTGCGCCAGCCGCAGCCTTCTTTCTGTTGAAAAAAGAAAAAGATAATAATTTATAAGCTACTTCAACATACAATGGATTGCGACTCTCCCTCGCACACTTCCCAAAGCGACGATGTGACGTCACGGCCCGCCAGGTGCGTAGTTAACTCGTATTGTATGTAAAACGTTTTTGCTCACTTTGCATAATAACAAATTCACAAACAGTGCAATAGATAAAAAAAAGATCGACCAAAAACTTGTTGGCGGGAAAGTGAAATGTCATGATTGACATTTTCGTTTTAATTTCAGTTTTTACGATAGGTAGTATTGTAACCTAGGATTATTATAAACAATGCTTTATTGCAGAATAACTAAATTATTTAATGCTAATAATAGAACGATATTCAGGTAAATCTTACATAACAGGGCTTGGTTAAAATCTAGCCCATCAATTTGAACTTTATGCTGTGAAGATACGGTTGAAAACCAATGACTTTTTTTTTAACCTGGTTAAGTGTTAAGTGGCCAAATTACAACGATAGGTGTCAATCAAGTTGGTATTTCTGTGACTAACACGCGTAGGCGAAGTCGCGGGCCTAAGCTAGTATGAATACCTACTGCATGCTCTGAAGTTCTAAACTTGCTAGGAACTGTCTAATTTAAATGGGTCATTCCATAAAAATCTGTATATTTTCGACGTCATTTTGTCCGTAACTTTTTTAAGATGCTTTTGAATACTTTATTAGTGTAAATTATAGTTTATTAATTAATTATGTTATGTCTAAAAGGGCCAGTCACTTTATGCTTTATTTTAGGAGAAATTATAATTTTCAATTTTTTCATACAACATTACTCCTATATGACTTCTAATAAAGTATAAAACTTATAACCTTAACATTTATAGATAAGTTAATATACATAATGTAGTTGTTTTGTTATTATCACCATATAAAAAACATCATTCCCTAACTAGTAATTTAGTCCCAAGTGCCGTTTAAAGCTAGGGCCTGACGCTCTAGGGACTGACGATTTGGAGTAAAACTTAACACAAATGCAGATTAACTTTATATTATAAGATGCTTAATACGATGTGCCGAAAATAGCCAAAAAACCACACGTAAATACTAATTAAATTATATACAATTTCTTATTGTAATCAATAAAGCTACTCAACTAGGGACTGACGAAGTGACTGGATTAACACATGTTTCCGCAACAAGTGGCACGTTTGCACTTATTCAAAAAACGGCTACCGCAAAGCCAGTATGGTCTGAGGATAACTTCGTATCGTACTTTAAACTCAACTAAATGTCATTCACTCTAAATACATATTATAGCGCAAAATTATAAAATCAGTGCGTGGCGAGGGAATAACGCTAAAAGCTGTAGACTCTTTTTCAACTAAAGAAAATCAAATTATTGTTTATTGAAACCGCAAAATATTAATAGAATTTGGTGTAATATACATTTAAATAGATTATTCGTTAATTAAAACAAAGGATAAAGTTGATGTTTTTATAAATGTGGGTCCCAAAACACAAACTTTTGTAGTACGGACATGCCTAGGGAATGACGTTTTGGGTCATTCAAAAGGAATTTAAGATGTTTTAAAAACAGTTTCAAAAATATAAATGGGTGATGAATAAAGCACATTGCGAGCTGTTATGTAACAATTTTGGAATAAAATATTAACAAATATTTCATGTGAAATGTGGCGCGGACTAAGAGTTGACATATTTTTGTGGAATGACCCAATAGAATGGCGGTAACAAGCGTGTTTTCCAAGGTCTATTTTCAAGTTAATTAACTTCATACAAAAAGTTAACAATATGTTATACGGATGTGCGCAAAAAATATGACAATAGAAATAGCGTAGTAGGCCCCCGTCCTGTCTTCATGAAATACTGATTTTGATGATCTGCTGATGGATATTTTAGTATTTTTTTATTGACTGAACAACACAAGGTGGACCAACTATCTCATAAAGGTAGCAGGAAGACGCTGGATGCAGGCCGCTACTAACCGGGCGATGTGGAAATCATTGGGGGAGGCCTACGTTCAGCAGTGGACGTCCAATGATGATGATGATGATTGGAACTCAAAAATGGCGTGTGATTCCGGGAGTCTAGAATAATCTCTTTTCGTGGATGTCGTAAGAGGCGAATAAGGGACAAATATGCGAGCATCAGGCCTCCCCAACCCGTCTGCCCAGCGTGGGGAGTGCAGGACAAATCCTCCATTTGCTTGTTAAATTATTAGAAAGGGTCGTCCTCCTGCAGTGGAGACTAAATGACCTGTGGACTGAGTGTGAGTTTACATCTAAAAAAATTATGAAAATTTTAGTTTTGAACGTTTCCCGCTAGGGGCGCTGTACAATCCATCATACATTTAATGTCATTTTTTGACGTGCTCACTAGTGAGCGCGTTTAAGAGTAGGCGCACACCGTTGATTTTTCGTCGGCCGATAGTTTAGTCGGGCAGTTGATCAGTATGGGCATGTATGGGAGTGCGCACACTACGCCGATTCGATTTGGCCGATTCTTCATACAATTTAAAATCGGGCACAACTATCGGCCAACTAAAAATCAACGGTGTGCACCTACTCTNCATCCGCAGACCAACCCCCCCCCCTAATTTAGAATGACGTAATATATGGACGGCCCCTAGCCATATAAAGTAACTAGCGGCCGCCCGCGACTTCGTACGCGTGGATCCCGTTTTACCCTCTTAGGGGTAGAGTTTCGTGAAATCCTTTCTTAGCGGATGCCTACGTCATAACATCTACCTGCATGCCAAATTTCAGCAAGATTCGTCCAGTGGTTTGGGCTGTGCGGCTGTGCGTTGATAGATCACTATGTCAGTCAGTCAGTCAGTGACCTTCGGACTATAACGCAACGGTTTTGGGTTCCAATCCCGCAAGGGGCAAAGTTTTTGCATCATGCCGGTGGAAAATTAATGAGTCATCGATGTTTCAGTATCCGTTATCTACCTAGTTGCCTCAGTTCAAAGTACGATCAGCAGCACGTCGAGTCAAATACTGTAGCATGATACCTACTAAACTGTACACCTAAGATGGGTGCGATATTACAACCCGTTCGCGCTAAGTTTGCCGGTCCGTGGAATGCGCGATCCCCCAACCGCGATTAAATGCAATTAGTTAGTGATAAAACGCAAATAATGTGTCTTGTTTTACCCAAATACACAATTTTTATCCTATCAATTGTTATAGTTATCTACAACTTCTAAAGAGAAATACAAAGTAATCATACATTATGCGGGCAGAATTTACTTGGACCTGACTGCATACCGTATCCAGTGTGGCAATCCTCGATTCCTCTACTGGGCGATGTCCTATATGAATGGGACGAGAACTAGGTTCATATAAACCATTTAAAAACAATCCACACGTAGGTAAAGCCTGGTCCATGAAATTCAACGTGCTCACGGACCAGGCTTTACCTACTAAGTCGCGGGCACAGTTAGTTGTACAACGTTAAAGAGATCGTTAGTGCTAACAACTGAAGGTATTATATTATTTTAATTAGCAATAACTCACTGATAACGAGAACAATGTCTTGATAACGTGGTTTTTGTTGCACAAGTAAAAACAGCACATAATCCCAACTAATATTATAAATGCGAAAGTAACTCTGTCTGTCTGTCTGTCTGTCTGTCTGTCTGTCTGTCTGTTACGCTTTCCCGCTTAAACCTCGCAACCGATTTTGATGAAATTTGGCATAGAGATAGTTTGAGTCCCGGGAAAGAACATAGGATAGTTTTTATCCCGGTTTTTGAAACAGGGACGCGCGCGATAAAGTTTTTCTGTGACAGACAAAATTCCACGCGGGCGAAGCCGCGGGCGGAAAGCTAGTGTTCTATATGCTCTAGTAAATAGACCTCCAAAGCATTAACACAATTCTTAATTGGAAGTAACTAAGTCCCAACTTCCCAACTAATATTATACATGCGAAAGTAACTCTGTCTGTCTGTCTGTCTGTCTGTCTGTCTGTCTGTCTGTCTGTTACGCTTTCCCGCTTAGACCTCGCAACCGATTTTGATGAAATTTGGCATAGAGATAGTTTGAGTCCCGGGAAAGAACATAGGATAGTTTTTATCCCGGTTTTTGAAACAGGGACGCGCGCGATAAAGTTTTTCTGTGACAGACAAAATTCCACGCGGGCGAAGCCGCGGGCGGAAAGCTAGTGGTTCTATAAAATACGGTCAATGCAGCCATGGTTAAATTTCCTGCGGTAGTTAAATTATGTATTTACGAATGATTTCTGTATTGGTCTTTCGGATTATCATGCTCTTTAATTTGTATCTCTCTCTCATGTTAATAAAAATGCAGTCGTAAGCGAAAAAGCAATTTTTAAATCATAGATTTTAGATGCAATAAAAATCGAAACTCAAAATATCGCAAAAGTCAGCGTGATTAATGTGAAAACGATTGAGTTGCTAAAATCTTGTGCAAATAGCGGTAGTCGGACGCCGCATCCGTCATAAATTCGCTCATCCAGAGCGCTCTGAAATCTTGTCAAATAATTCGTTCCCGATTGGAATCTCTGTAAAAACAGATGTTCTTTGTTTATATTTTAGTTTTTTGCCCGTAGGAAATTCACCTTTCCGCATACTTTCTTTATTGGGGGCTGCAGCAGGCTGTATGAACTCCATCAGGAATGACCATCAGCCCTATACGTCAAGTTTATCCACTAAAATCTTCAAGTGTTCTTTCAGGCCGCTATTGGCTGATTGATATAGGATATTTGTTCATGGCTCCGTCGGGAGTCGCTTCTATCCTTCGTCTTTTCCATCATCCGGTCATTTAGTCACCACTGTAGAAAGCAAGATCTCTCTAATTTACCAAAGGAGTTCTTCTACGCTTCCCGCGTTGGCCAGACAGGTTGGAGAGGCCTAATGGCTTACCCTTACCCTTTTACCACTTCCTCGCTAAGAGTGGGAGTCCTATTCTTCACTGACGGATCCACGTTGTTATATCCTACTTTTCAACTCATCATCATCACTTCAGCGGCTTCAGCCACAGCTA